ACGACATGCCTCCACAACAACAACCAACAGCATCATCACCATCATGAGGGTATCATCAAGAGCCGCTGCACAAGCAGCGACGCCTGCTGCTGCTACTACTACTACTACTACTACTACGACGACGACGATGACGACGACGACTAAGAAAAACGAGTGAGGCGATGCCAGTACTAGTAGTCATAGTGCGAATTTGCATGATAGCACTTGTCATGGCAAAAGGAACTGCTGTTCTTCGAGCAAGTTGCAGCTCTTTGAGGAGTCGAAAGCCTTGTGCTGCCTTGGCAGAGATGGAGAAATTCGCCGTCCCGCTCCAAGGGTTTTAAGTTTACAGCTAGGTGTCATGGTCTGGGTGGACGGTCTCCAGTTCAGTGCCCTAGGACCTAGGATTGACACGCACTTCGGATGTTGGTCGTTGACGCATGCACTCCCACCGCCTGCATCGCCAGCCAGATTGAGATCTTTGGGATCGTTTTGGCAGAAGCTTGCAGAGGGGGCTCTGGTGAAGAGTGGCAGCAACAGCTACAGCAACTTCGGCCAGGCTTGCTGTTTGACGGCAGGCTTCGGACTCTCTCATCAAACTTCGAAGATCGGATGCTGTAGCCTGTAATATGGGGGCTTTAATAATTAGAATGAGGTGTTGGGGTCCAGTATGCTATAGCTATAATCAGGAACCCCCAAAAACCCTAAACCCTAAACCCGTTATACTATATTCATAATAAGGAACCCGCCAAGATAGTATTGGTAGTTATTGAGGCCCTAAACCCAAAACCCTAAACCCTAAACCCAAAATAGCATTGGTAATTATTTAAGCACGGCCCTTCTTCTAGCTCGGACAAGCCTTACGGGATCTCCCCAGCCCTGCAATCCGTTATTCCGGGCTATGGATCGGTTTAGGGTTTAGGGTTTGGGTTTGTTTTTTAAGGGTTTAGGGCTTAGGGTTTAGGGTTTTGGGTTTTTTGTTAGTTTAAGGGTTTGGGGTTTAGGGTTTAGGATTCTGGGCCTGTTTTTACGGGCTTTGGGTTTTTTTAAGGGTGTAGGGTTTAGGGTTCAGGGTTCAGGGTTTCAGGCTAAGCTAAGGAAAGGTGCTGCCTTCTGGCTCGGGTATGGTGCGAAAGTCGAAAATGTCATTGAACCTTTGTTGCAGCTGTGCAACGCTTGACGTGCACGCTGCACAGCAGCAACGTCGGTCGAACGATGTGCATCCTTCCACACGTCGCTGTTACATGCTGCTTCCACACACGATTCCGCACACGAGCCGGTCTCAAGCTTAGGCGAAAGTAACCTGCCAATTAACAAGCTTATAGTAACCTAATCGTGGCACCCTGATTACAAAGACCACCTCAATATGGTAGCTCGATTTTTGTGAGTGGAGGGTTCATGGCTAGTCTGCTCTTCCTAGTTGGTGCCTCTTCCCGCGCGATTTGCACGGCCGCCTCGTTAGCAGCAAGCATGTCGCGATAAGCGGCTTCTCCTGCGGTTTAGGGTTTAGGGTCTAGGGGACTCTATCATAGAGTTACTGCTTGATGCGTAAACTCGGATACTACAAGGTTACTGGACGGTTGCCGGATTCACGAGAAAACACCTATACCCTAAACCCCAACCCCTAAACCAACCCCAAAACCCTAAACCCTGATTGTCCATGCCTGACTTGAAGACGTGCCACCAATGCATGGCCAGGCTGTTCGTTTCCACAACCAGATCTCGCCATTTTTGCCTTCGGGCCGGTTCAGGGTTTAGGAGCTTTCGTTTTTTGAGCCCCTTTTTCCCAGGAGTTACTGTAGGGTTGAGGGCTTAGGGGTTTAGGGTTGAAGGTTTAGGGTTTGGTATTTATTACGTCCGATCCGACGCAACGCCTTGGCTCACAGACCCCGTGCTTCCAGTCCCCAGCCGCATCCAGAGCTTTAACTCGCAACCCTGCATCCGATAAACGAACATACAATTTCAGAATCTTGGGGCCGGTGGCGACGGTCATTGCCAGTGGCGATTTTTGCAGGTACGTTTTCA